CACAGGAAAGACCCAACGCTGGAGGGTTTAACCTTTAGGAAAAGGTCAAAGGATACAGAGGTTAAATCCAAGCAAGCTGTGTGGGAACACTCGGATGCATCAACAGAAGCCTTGTGTCCAGATCACGAGAGGTGGTCGTTCCACTCTGTTCTACTATGGTCAGGGGCCTCGCCTGGAGTCCTGTGTCCAGTTTAGGGGCACCACATTTTAGGAAGGATGTTGACAAGCTTGAGCGTGTCCACAAGAGGGCAACCAAGATGTTGAGAGGGTTGGGATCCAAGTCTTAGGAGGAAAGGCTGAAAGAGTTGGGTAAGTTTAGCCTGGGAAAGAGAAGGCTTAGAGGGGACTTGATTGCAGTCTTCAAGTATCTGAAGGGCTGTCATGTAGAAGATGGAGCGGATCTCTTCCCTCTTGCTCCAGATTGCAAGACTAGGTCTAATGGGTGGGAATTTCAATGGAGTCGTTACCGGCTAAATATCAGGAGAAACTTCCTAACGGTAAGAGTGGTTGAGCAGTGGAACAGACTGCCTCGGGAGGTGGTGGAAGCTCCTTCGTTGGATGTTTTCAAGCGGAGGCTGGACGACCATCTTTTGGGTAGGTATGTAGGGCTATCTTTCGGCTCTGTTCCTGCAAAGTGCAGGGGGTTGGACTAGATGACCTGCGTGGTCCCTTCCAACTCTAACATTCTATGATTCTATACCGGCTAAATATCAGGAGAAACTCCCTAACTGGAAGAGTGGTTGAGCGGTGGAACAGTCTGCCTCAGGAGGTAGTGGATGCTCCCTCGCTGGACGTTTCCAAGCGGAGGCCGGACGACCCTCTTTCGGGTCTGTTGCAGGGCTATCTTTTGGCTGTGCTCCTGCAGAGTGCAGGGGGTTGGACTAGATGACCTGCAAGGTCCCTTCCAACTCTCACATTCTATGATTCTGTGATACTTTCCTGAGAAGCCAAAGATGTCCTTCTCCTTAGGGTGGCACCATGGAACCAGCATTTCCCCGGACTCCCTCAAATTCTTCCAAAACTGGCCTTGAAAACATGACTCGGAAAATCAACAGGAGAACTGAGAACAGAGACGGAACATGGAGATCGTTGCAGAGGGCAGCCGTGTCGGTCTGCGGCCGAACATCGAGATTCGAGTCCAGGGTCAACTTAAGAGACCGACAAGATTTCTTTCTTTTTTTTAAAAAATAACGTCATTAATTGTTTAAGTACAGAAAAGAGCAATCCAAAAGTAAAACTATGATAACACTATCAACCAGGAGATACTCCCAGAAAACCCAGGTTAAACCGAAATTTTCGTACAGTTTTCGTATACCCACAAAACAACAAATTTCCGTACAGTTTTCGTACACCCACCTGTTGGCAGTGGCCTTAGAGTTTTAACCAGATTCTATCATCATTTCTACACGGAAAAACTTCATTGCGTCTCAGACCAAAGAGATTTCTGAATAGAGCTTGGACTCTTGAAATCTCATATCCCAGGCAGGCCCGTAGCTACAGTGGGCCCCCAACTTACTGGCAAGGCCCCATGACTACCCATCCAACCAAGGGCTCCTGCCAAAAGCAGACTAAAAGGTAAAGGTTCCCTTGCTCGAAAGCCAGTCGAGTCCAACTCATCTCCGTTTCAAAGCCGAAGAGCCAGCGCTGTCCGAAGACGTTTCCGTGGTCATGTGGCCGGCATGACTAAACACCAGGGCGCACGGAATGCTGTTACCTTCCCACCGAAGTGGTACCTATTTATCTACTTGCAATTTCTTGCTTTCGAACTGCTAGGTTGGCAGGAGCTGGAACTAGAGACGGGAGCTCACTCCGTCATGCGGCCCACTCGGGTTTCGTACTGCTGAACTACCAATCTTCGACAGCCTGCAGTTCAGCGTCTTAACCACTCGAGCCACCACAGCTCTATCTAAAAGCAGACTACACAGCTCCAAAAAAAAGCTCCCAGAGCAAACGGCTTTTGGGTAGAGGACTCTGAAACCTCACCCCCCCCACACACACACTATAGGGAAGCTACGGCTTGACTCCTGATAAAGACATAAAAGAGGGGTTTCTCACCACCACTCAAACAGGATATCGGAGAGGCTGGAGAAGGAAAGAGCTGCGATGCCAGAGGCAAGAAGGAGGGACATTTCACTGCACGTGAGCGGAGCGGGGCTTCTGAGGAGGGAGGGGCAGCTCGGAAGCCAGCCGGGCTTCCAGGCGGAGCACACTACAGTGAACACACTCTAGCCCTCGTCTCTATGGTTTTCATAACCATAGAGACTTGGAGGACTTAAATGCTAGAGCGACAATTTCCGGCCGTCATCCCCCCCCACCCCCCCCGCCCCAGGGCCTGGATTTTTAAAAAGTGGGTAAGGGGAAGGAGCTGAGTATTCCCACACAGCTGTCCGGCATGAAAGGCCAGCTACAGTGGCCATGTGAAGCCAGACAGCACCTCTCTATTTCCCCCAGAAACTGAATTAAATTACCTTTAATTTGATTAGCCGGTGCCCTCTAAGAAATTTAAATGCCCCCTGACCCCAGGAATCTTGTCGGTCTCTAAAGGTGCTCTTGGACTCGAATCTGGCATAGCCCTACACAGCTTCCTAAACAAGTGGAAGATGCAACAAGCGGACCACGCCTGGGCTTCCTGACCTTCAGAGGAACCGTAATCAGCTGTGCATAAAGACAAAAGACCGAACTTGCTCACAAGCCCTGCCCAAAACCACAAGGGAAGAAAGAAGGAAAGGGAGACCGATTCCTTGGAAACGCCAAGTGCCCTGGGGAGCCAAACGCCTCGTAGGCTGGGGGATCACCATGGTGACCTGACCTACTGCCCCTCCCTGCTCTAAAAGTAAACACGGCCCACCTAACGCAGACTGCGGGGTACCCCGAGCAGGAAATGCCGCACAAAAAGAGTCAACGTCAACGCTGACAACCACACGGTTCCTTCCAAGTCACCTGCACACCTCTCAATGATTCATTCTCAGGCAACTCGATTCTAGTTCAGGAGCACCTGGCACGATTTTCTGAGTGAAAGCTTTCGAGAGTCAACGCTCCCTTTGTCAGATCTGATGGAGGGAGACTCTCAAAAGCTTATATCCAAAAAACCTCGCTGCTTCCTAAGATGCTACCGGCCTAGAATGCAGCTGGTCCAACTGCAAACTAACACGGCTACCCTCCGGAACTCGTTCTAAGGCACGAGCCCCAAAATGCTTGTTTGAGTGCCATGGTGGATCTGCTTTGCATCTGCCTTCAACAAAAAGCTGGGGCGGGCGGGGAGCACCAAATGACTGGCCTGTGGTTCACTTCCTGCAACCGTTATGCCATAACAAACACTCTCCTGGTTAGGTGTCACACAGACACATGAAGCGGCCTTATTACTTGGTCCATACTGCCCACTCAGACTTGCAGTAACTCTTTAGGGCATGGTTTGCCAAACTGCGGCTCGGGAGCCATATGTGGCTCCCAGCAGGGCGGCTCGAGAAGTGAAGGAGAGGCATGCTCTTCCTTCCTTCCTTCCTTCCTCCCCTCCCCCCATCTATTTGATTTCTTTGTTTCTCTCTCTCTTTCCACCTCTTTCATTCTTTCCACCTCTCTCTCTCTCTCTGTCTCTCTCTTAGGGTGTGTTCAGACGGGGCGTTTCAGCCGGCATAAACTGTAACGGTTGGAACTGGTGCAGTTTATGCCGGCTGAAACGCGACCACACTTACCTCCTGTCTGCGGAGCCCATCGCTGTATGCCCGTTCACACACAGCGGGCATCGGCGTTTTTTGTGTTTTTTTTTTTAAACACAGTTTGCGCATGCGCATAGGCAGCCATCCACAGAATGGCGGTCTTCACGCATGCACAAAACACCTCGTCTTACATTTAAAGTTTAAAGGTAAGGACTTACCTATAAAGTTTAAAGAGCAAAGTGGCCTCCCTGAGGTCCCGGACTCCTCTAAAAGTTAAACTAAGGACCTTTTCTTTTTTTAAAAAACAAACGCTGGGGCGAAGCTTGGCCCAAGTGCATATCGCCGACCTAAAAAAAAAAAAGGTGGGCGAAAATCGGAAGCCTCGGGCTTTTGAACGGAAGTGGCTCTACAACGTTAGAGAGCGATCAGACCGGGGGGGGGGGGGGGAGCGAGTAAAGACAGCGGCCTTGCAAATGCCCCGTCTGAACGCACCCTTAGACAAACAAATATCATTATCAATATCTGTTTTTTCCCCTTTTGCTTTTATTTTTGGCCATCTCATTTCATGTCAATAAAATGTTGAATTCCTAAGAAAATAAAATTTGTTTACCAAAAAAATAAAATAAAAGGCAAATTTGCCTATTTTAAAACAAAAACATGCGTGCAATATTTGTTCATGTCTTGTGGATTTCAAACATCTAACATTTATTCTATGTGGCTCTTACAGTGAGCGAGTTTGGCCAACCCCTGTTCTAGGGTCTCAGGCAGAGGACTTTCACATCATGCCGGGAGGGAGAAGGTGGTGGCAGCAGCCCGAACATTGCGGAAGTTTCTAATACCAATACCAAGCAAATATATATAAATAAATAAAGCATGGACTTGCGGGGCTTGGCTGTTTCATGCGGGGGTGTGGCCCCAAATGGCCCCACCACAGCAACAGCCCTTTTAATCTGGACATGTTACCAGATCGAACCTGGGATCTTCTGCATGCCAAGAAGAGGATCTCCCACTGAGCCATGGCCCCTCAGCAAAACATAAAGCAGCTAATATACTGAATAAGACCATTACCTCTCAGGCGGAGGATTTTCAATATCACCGACTGCCTGGATCATTTTGACCGGGGGTGCCAGGGATTGAACCTGGGACCTTCTGCAAGTCAAACAGATGTTCTTCCACTGAGCCACAGCCCCTCCCCTCCCTATCATTCAAAAGAAGTGTGACTCAAGACTAGGAAAATTTTTAGTTAAAACAGAGTACTTGTTCCTACTGAAGATCAAGAGAGGGCGGCAGAAGAACCAGCTTGGGTCAAGTCTCAGGGGTAAGAGAGTAGATTCCACCACTTACTTCACCAAGGCGGCTGCTTCCGGGAGGACTTCAGCAAACGTGTCGCGAAACACAATTGCATTTTTCCGCTTACAGTTCTGTATGACGTCGTTCGCCAGGTAAAAAAGGTTCAGGCGATGAGGAACGGCGGCTGAAAAGAAAGAAGAAGGAGGCACAGGTTAACTCTGGACACCCAGCTGTCCATGCCAGCAGGGCCGATTTGGCCCACAGTTAACGCCATCTGATGGATGGATGAACTGAGGCTCTGAGATGCGACCTGGTGAGCTATGAGCTGTCTTCGTGGAGAGGAAGTAAAGACACTGGACAGGGGACAACCAGGCTTGGGACAAGCAAAAAAAAAAAAAAAAAGAGTCTAGGAAGCACCAATTTCTTGGGAAAGCTGACGAAGGCTCCTTGGATGTGCGGTTTTGCAATCTCATCCCTTTTTCGTTTGTAAATTTGCATTCTTACGCACAGGGCTCTTTTTGTAGAAAAAGCCCAGCAGGAACTCATTAGCATAATAGGCCCCACCCCTGACAGCACAGCTCATTAGCACATTAGGCCACACCCCCATGTTACCAGAAGTGTGGTTATCCAGCCACACCCACCTTTTGCTTGTTATTCTGTGGACCTTGTTTGTTGTCCAAACCCAGGGCCTTTTATTGTAGGAGGAACTCCTTTGCATGTTAGGCCACACACCCCTAATGTAGCCAATCCTAATGAGTTTCTGCTGTTGGGTGTGGCCTATTATGCTAATGAGGTTCCAGCTGGGCATGGCCAACTCGGGAGCCAGCCGGAACTCCGTTCCTGTGCGTTCTTGCCCAAAAATAGCCCTGCTTACGCACTTAGGGAAAATACATAAGAGGCGAAGAATTGGCCTTTGGAATGGAGGGACCATTCCATGGTCCATGGGGTCGCGAAGAGTCGGACTCGACTGTGCGACTGAACAACAACAACAACAACAAAAATGGAGGGACGGCTGCTAATCCAGATTATGTGAACCCACTGTCATTTCCTGGGGTCCCCAACCATGCTACCACGTGTTTTTAGAAAGTGGGTGGGGCTTTTGGGGAGGTGCTGATCACAGGACAAACCTGCGGCATAGCAAAGAAGCGGCCTCTCTAGCAAAAGGCTCCGTGGGTTTAACCCCTTCCAGGGCTGCAGAGGAATGCAAACTGTGTCCTCCTTCCGGACCCCTCCAGGAGGAGCTTCAGCCGGGCCGCCCTCCCGCCACGCCCCCTCTGCACCTTCCCCTCTGCCGCCCGGTGCAGAGAGTTCCTCTCCAGCAGGCCGAGCCAGGCGTGTGGGGGAAGTATGGAAAAGAGGAGGGGGCTGTGTTGTTTGTTTTTAAACGAAGTGTGCACATGCGCCGTTGGGTGCTTGTGCACATCCCGTGGAGACTTGGGAAAAAAATCTTTTCGCGACGGGACATGGGCGGGCGCCGGATGCCAACACCTACCACCGGAAACGCGATCAGGCACCTGCCCTTGCCCCGCGGTTTCTGGAAACTAGTACCTCAAAGGTACTAGTTTCTTACCCCGCATCTTCGGTGGGAAGCCTCAGGTTCACCACGGGAGCTCTACGCTTCCCAGATGTGGCGCTGTGATTGCGCCCGGAAAATCCACCTATCTTCTGTCTTTGTAGTGTGCCTAATGCTCCGTGTGACCGCAGCCCAGGGTTCGAATCCCCACTCTGCCATGGAAACTTGCAGGGTGACTTTGGGCCACTCACACACCTCTCAGCCTAACCTACCTCACAGGGTTGTTGTGAGGATAAAACGGAGGAGAGGAGAAGGGTGTCAGCTGCCTTGGGTCCCCACTGGGGCATAAATAAAGTAAATGAATAAGTCCTACTATCACCTCTCTCTTCTCCACCCTCCAGGTGTCCTGGCCCCTCTGCTTTGTCGCAGCCAGGGCTCCCGGGCCCCACAAACACCCCCACCGCCTCACTGTGCCCTCCCGCTGGTCTGCCTAGTGTGGTTCCCGATCCTTAACAACGGAAAAGCTGCAGCACCTGGTGCTGGCTCCAGGCACTCCGACCTTTATGCAATCGCTCCGGACTGTAAGCTTGACCAGAAGAGCAATCATGGGTATTGATCTGAACACTTCTGACAATCGGGTCCATGGACAGGGAGAGCACTCGCATCAAACACCGAACTCAGGAAGCAGAGGGATGCCCCCCCAACCCCCACTGAAGCTCAAGGGGCACGTGCACCAACCAGGGCGCGGGCCTTCTCAGTGGTGGCTCCATCCTGGTGGAATGAGCTCCAGAGGAGTTCCGCAGGGCCTGTAAAACGGAGCTCTTCCGCCAGGCCTTTGGAGCCAACCGCCACCTTTAACAACGAGGATAAGAAGCCCTGCTGCCTCCGGAACGACACCAAAAGACGACTACAGGAGACCTGCGAGGCGGCTCAGGAAGAGAGAGCCGATGGTAGCCATCACGAACTCTAGAACAGCAAATCTAGTACTTATTATGGTATTACAGAATTATAATCTGGTTTTAATACAGTTTTATTTATTATTTATTTATTTTTCGCATTTATCTCCCATCCCGTAAACGGGATCAGGGCGGGTTACGGCAGTTTAATAAATACAACATTTAAAATGCATTAAAACATATAAAATCAGTAGTCATGCTTGCCGTAGGGAGAATCCGGCCCATTGATGTAACTAGGCATGGCCGGTTATCGGTAGGTGGGAGATCGCTGATATTTTAAATGTTCTCTGCTGATTTTATGTGAGCCGCCCTGAGCCGGGAGGGCAGGGTATAAATTCGAAAAATAGACAGATAGACAGATTGATAGATAGATAATAAATATCTTCTTCTCCCTTTTTCCTGGCTTTCTACAAACTATGCAAAACTGAATTACTCAAGAGGGATTTTTGACACAGGCAAGAGAGGGCTGTACTGTGGCCAATTGACTCAGGAAGTCACCTGCGTAAAGCATTAAAAGACTGCGGCCTTTGCTACTGTGCAAAACTTGTTGAAACCAGGATCCTACTACGGAATTTTGTATTGTGTCTTGTTGACACTCGTGCTTTGCTTCACTCCTGTTTGTTCAGATTTCTGGTCGGTTCTACAGCCCTGATCCTATCGCACCATTCACTGAACGTCCCATCTGCCGATTGTCTTGACTCACTCTGTGTGATCTGCCTGGAGTCCAAGTAAGAAAGGCAGATTATAAATAAAGCGAATAAAATAAAGACACAAAAACACCCAGGTGCTCCTTTGCAAACCGTTTTTTATGGGTCCAGCCCATTATTTTAAAGGGGAACCTCTGGAAACAGCTGTTTTATTACTGTGCCCAAAACTGCTATAGAAATAAACATTTCTTAGTCTGAGATGCTGCACAGAGCCTTTGAGGTTTATACTCGTATCTTTCAAAATTTATGTGAGGTCAGCACAGCCAGTAGGCATACAAACCGGGCAGGAAAACTATCTTCAAGAACAATCACGACGACCTTCAAGATTTCATCAATTTCCAAAATCCAGACACAGACCTTGTCCCTCAAATGTTCATGATTACTTAGATCAGCACAATAGAGAGCAGCCCATTCGGCAAGGCATGGCGCAGTGTTCTCATTTACACAGGAATGAAAAAGAATGCCCATCGGTCCTGCGTACATACAACAGTTGAAGTCTAAAAGCCAGTGGCCCATCCAGTTCAACACTCTGTGTCACACAGTGGCCAAAACCCAGGGGCCATCAGTAGGTCCACCAGAGGGGATAGAACTCCAGAAGCCCTCCCAATCTTGCCCCCACCCAAGCACCAAGAAGACAGAGCACCATTGCCCCAGACATAAGAACATAAGAGAAGTCATGCTGGATCAGGCCAGTGGCCCATCCAGTCCGACACTCTGTGTCACACAGTGGCCAAAATCCAGGGGCCATCAGGAGGTCCACCAACATGGCCAGGACACCAGAAGCCCCTCCCACTGTTGCCCCCCTCCAAGCACCAAGAAGACAGAGCTCCACTGCCCCAGACATAAGAACATAAGAGAAGCCATGCTGGATCAGGCCAGTGGTACAAACCCAGGGGCCATGAGGGGGTCCACCAGCGGAGCCAGAACTCCAGAAACCCTCCCACTGTTGCCCCCCCCAAGCACTAATAAGACAGAGCTCCATTGCCCCAGACATAAGAACATAAGAGAAGCCATGCTGGATCAGGCCAGTGGCCCCTCCAGTCCAACACTCTGTGTCACACAGTGGCCAAAACCCAGGGGCCATCAGGGGGTCCACCAGCGGGGCCAGAACTCCAGAAGCCCTTCCACTGTATTCCTGCTCCCCCAAAGCACCAAGACAAAGTGTCACTGCCCCAGAGATAGTGTTCCATCTATACCTTGTGGCTAACAGTACAAAAGAGCAAGAGTCCAGTAGCACCTTAAAGAATAACAGAATTTGTGACAAGGTACGAGCTTCCTTGAGTCAGTGCTCAATTCTTCAAAGTGGCTAACAGCCACCGATGGACTTTTGCTCCATATGTTTATCCAGTCCCCTCTTGAAGCCGTCCATGCTTGTAGCCGCCACCACCTCCTGCGGCAGTGAATTCCACGTGGTCATTCCTCTTTGGGCGAAGAAGTACTTCCTTTGATCTGTTCTAAGCCGACTGCTCAGCAATTTCATGGAGCACCCATGAGCTCTTGTACTGTCAGAAACGGAGATAAATACTTCATAATCCACCAGCTGTGTCACATGCATAATTTTGAAAAGCTCTATCGTGTCACCCCTCAATCGTCATGTCTCCAAGCTAAAGAGCCCTGGCCTCTTTCACCTTTCTTCGTAGGGAAGGTGTTTAGTCTCCGCCATTTCGCTGCCCTTTTCTGTACCTTTTCCAAAGCTATACGATCTTTTTTGAGGTGTGGTGACCAGAACTGTGCACAGCATTCCAAATGAGGCCGCACCATAGATTTAGACTCATATCTTTACTGGCTAATCTGTTTTCAACCCCCTTCCTAGTAATCCCCAGCAGACCCCACACTTTCACACAACGTCTCTTCTGAGACTTTGCATGGAATGCACATGCTACACGTACCAACTTTATTAATAAAAAACATTTTATTGTCAGGATATAACAACATGTCCAATATTAAAACATTTCATCATTCACAGTATACCCTTTTCCCCTTTCACCCTCCCTCCCCATCTTCAGGC